CTCAAGTCGTCAAAACAGCACTCCAAGAGCTTGAATGGGAGGTTCTTCAGCATCCAGCGCACTCTCCGGATCTTGCACCTGCCGACTAACACCTTTTCCGCTCTATGTTAAACCCAATGAGGGGTGTTACCTTCGATGGCGAAGGGGACCTTAAAAACTGGCTCAACAAATTCTTCAACACCACAACGGCCAATTTTCGGCGAATCGCCATCAACAAATTGGTCGAGAGATGGGAAAAGGTCGTGAACTGTAACGGAGGATACATCATTGGTTAATTTATTATTATAATTATTGTTTTTTGGTTCAGATAAATCTTTGTGAAAAAACTCTACGAACTTATGTTACAACCCAATAATTTTGGCATCCATCCTTTTCAGAGGATCAGAACTTCTGTTCATTGTCGGGGAGGGAGAAATAAGTCCTTCGCTTTTTTCAAACATTTCGAAACTTTAGGTCGCACTAGTTCCCCTTTCTTTTGGCTAGCTAGCTAACGAATTACGCAGGAACCAAAAAAAGAACTACCCTGATCATTGGAGTCGGTTGGAGCGATGAGCTAACGAACTGTGTGCGTTGGTATCTTACCTCTGTTTTTAAGTCTTAGAAAACGAGATGAGTTTGCGCTTTCTGCAGCCAAGTAGATGGATCGTTTCCATCGATGAAAATTAATCTTACCGAAGCTCTTATTTTTTATGAATCCAACATAGCCATATTTTCTAGGCATCTAATCATGCTTTTCAGATTTGCTGGAGTAGATGTTAAAAACTACCGCTATTACGACAAGAACACATGTGGATTTGATGAAGCAGGAGCACTTGCTGATATTGCTGCAATCCCTAAAGGATCAATCATTCTGCTTCATGCGTGTGCTCACAACCCTACCGGAGTTGATCCTTCTGTGAGTCTGACATAAAGAGACGAGTAGAGGAGCAGACAAAAGAAAGTTCAAGTGGGGAAAGATAATTTTTGAAAAGTTGGCTGGAAGAAAGCTAATTCAGACCAGCTTCGCCTAGCTGGGGTAGTTGCTCGTTTTTCTAGCAGTAGTCAGTGAGCAAAAACTTGGACAGCTGTGAAAATAGTATTATTTTTCAAAATCGCCAACGCTTCAATTTCCGAAATTCAATTCACTTTCTACAAAATAAACTTGCAACGTTCGAGTAGAGATTAGTCGGTGAGCCATTATGACGAACCTTTTCCTTCTCAAAGAATCTACTAGGAAGAATCGTATATGATGGCACTGTCCCTATAACTTCCTCCCCTCGATTGGTAAGCAGGGTTCCAGAACCAAATTTTTAAAGGTGACAACGTCTTTGTTAGTTCTCAGGTTCCGAAACAATCCCCATATGCCGTATAACAGTTTCAAAGGCAGTACATTTATTGAATCGGTCTACTTAACTGTGAACAATACCTCCTGGGAGCATCATTGCACGGATCCTTTTACTATCATCCAGGGATAAGGCTGGTTTGCCCGTGAATCGGAGTACTCTACACTTGACCTATACTTTGTTCTCTAAGAGTTCATATTCCCTACTTACTTTAGTTGATACAAGTTAGCACTGATGGATACTGAACGGGGTAATTGAAACTGGCACTGTGGTAGTTCTGGCAACAGGGAGTGTTCTACAACTTTGCAGTGGAGTGTATTTTCCACGATTTCGATCAATATTCTCATCACCATTCAGTTAACATAAGGTTCTGTGCGAAAAAATTGTAAAACTATCCACCTGTTTTATTGGACTTTCCATTTTCTTTCGGCTTCGTTCCAATTAAAGTGAGACTTACAGAAAGAACAATGGAAAAAGATCTCTGAAATCTGTAAAAAGAACGAGCTGTTCGTCTTTTTTGACATGGCTTACCAAGGATTTGCCTCAGGAGATATCGACGGTGATGCTTACGCTGTACGGTGGGTAAAGTTTTGTACGTACTATAACACTTCTTCAATCAAAACGGATTGATAATTCAACTGCAATGCTGGCCTTCGCCACTGATTATCGTTTTTTTCAGTTATTTTATTGACCAAGGACATAACATCTGCCTCGCTCAATCGTTTGCCAAAAATATGGGAATGTACGGTCAGTTCCATTTGGTTTGATTTTTTTTGTTTCCATAAGACGGAACTTAAATGCTGAAGTAAGTAACGAAGACGGGGTGTAGTACAGTTGGTCCGAAATTGTCGCTCTGCGGCAAGAACGATATCGCGCCCGAAGGAATGCAGCAGAATGAAGCAGAAGCAGCGTAGCGAGCGGAGTACAGTAACACAGCGAGTAACAGTAAAACCAGGTTAAAAAGAGAATTATATAAGATGTATGAAGAACTCTAAAATTGCAATAGAGAGACAACTCGTCCGCGACTGCCGCGTGCGGCGATCCGATTACACAAAATCGATTTAGCTGCATATGCAACGTAACATATGTAAAATTGTAGGGGATGTCATGGAAGTACAGAAGGGAAAGAGAACCACAAGCGGGTTCCGATCGTAAGAATTGTTTGATAAGTCAAGCACGTTGCCATCGGAGAAGATTGACATCTGCCATCAGACGACCCATCAGTGGATTATAGGAAATCGCATGGAAATTCCTTTTCAGGAGAGCGAATAGGAGCTTTTTCTGTGGTGTGCCAGGATGCTGAAGAGGCAGCCCGCGTTGCTTCACAACTGAAGATTCTCATTCGCCCTCTTTATTCGAATCCACCCATTCACGGTGCTCGTATTGTCATGAAAATCCTCAACGATCCAGCTCTCTATAAACAATGGTGGGACCCATTTTCTTCTAATTCACTCTTTTATTTCAGAACGGTGGTGACCAGCGATCCTTGAGGTTTTTATTTCAGGTTGGTAGATGTAAAAGGCATGGCCGATCGTATTATTTCGATGCGAAAGCAGTTGCGAGATTTACTTGCCAAGGAAGGATCTAAGCGTAATTGGCAGCACATAACTGATCAAATTGGAATGTTCTGCTTCACTGGAATTAACCCTCAACAGGTAACGTTTTCTCTTCAAAACGAAGTAAGTTGACAGTATCTTTCCCACTAGCTTCATGTGTTATGGAACATTCGGTAACAGGTTCAGAAAGCGGAAGAGGAGTGTCGGTACTTTTTCCCGGACTCCCACAGTAAGCGGCAGTGTTTCTGCACGGCTACCTTATCCTTTCACTGGGACTCAAACTGTCCCCTTCATGGCGCGCCACTGCGCGCGAAAGGATCGGCGAGCGCGACGTAATTTTCGGGGAAAAGTTACCACACCTGAAAAATGCTTTTACACGACTTTTGACATACTGATTTGGTGGAATAAAGCCTCCACATTCCATCACTTACTTCATGTTCAGGGCGAAGAGCACCAATGTCATTTTCAAGTGCTATAAATTGGTTTCTGACCAAATAGGAGCCATTTGTAACATTTCAAATTGTTTGCTTCAGGTGGAAAAGCTGATCAAAGAGCATTCTGTCTATCTAACAAAAGACGGGCGAATTTCTGTGGCTGGAATCTCTTCAAATAATGTTGGTTATTTCGCTAGAGCTCTACATGCTGTCACCAAATAAATACTTGCCTCATC